ATCACACTTTTTAGCTCTGCGAAGGTTTTTTCATCTCCCGGGTTTACCTTCTCGTCATCAACCTTCGGTTTTCGAGTTTCATGAAGGTTTTACCGGTTTCCTTCAATTCCTTTTCCTCCTTTATATGAACATCCAAAGGCATATAAAAAGAAGTCACCACCATCGGATTCCGAATTTCAGCGTGTCCTCCCTTGGTGTCACTGATATGTAAACAAGATGTACTTAAGACTACTTCTTCATCATCTTCGTTGATGGAGGTCTCTATTTTTCATTTATCAACCAATCCTAACTCTTCATCTTGAGCTTCCCACCGGCTTTGAGAACATATGCATGCACTAATCTGAATTTAAGCCCTTTTCTCCTCTTTGGACTTGAATGTTTCATGTTGAAATAAAAACAAACTCATGTTAAGGGCTATTAGATGGAGCATGTCTTCAAGTGACATACCTGAGCTCTCAGAAGAGTGGTTTGTTGTCGATGTTTTATGTTCATAGATAGGGAATGATTGCTCTAGCCATCTGTACTCGTAGTCATTCAGATTTGGATGGTCTTGCCATCCCGGATAGTAGTTGTTTGAGTAACACTCAAACAAATCATGGCTCAAGCATGGAAATTCTCTACGATTATAGGACGATTCGATGTTGTAGTGGAAAGTTAGGATTGGCTGGATTGGTTAAGCATGTCGAGCATATGTCCTAGACATCTCTACCGGTGATGCCTTTGCACAAGCGATCTGTTTCACAATATCAGTTAAGTCCGAAATTTTTTACTCGAGGGGGGGGGGAGAGAAATACCTCAATTGGATTGCATCCTGTGATCATCTATCATGACCTGTATAAATATGGATGATACGCCATGATTAATATAAGAAATACTTAAAAACCACTCTACTTTAGGTACACGATTAGATTATAATAAAAAATAAAAATTAAAGACTTAAAATAAAAATAAACAAGAAATAAAACATAAAAACTAACAACAATAACCGATGCCAATCCCTGGCAATGATGCCAAAGATTTGACGAGTGTCGAGTACGAGAAATAATAAATTTTTATTACCTCAAATTACAACCTAAAGTGTAGTACCGCTAAACAGGGTCGAATCTAAAGAGATTGGCCGTGAAAGATTATTGACTACTACGCTCTATTTAATAAGAGGGGGTTGGATTGAGATACTAACCTAAACATATGAAATTAAAGCAAATAAAAATAATAATTATAAAGTAGCAATGAGTGTAAATCACTAATTAGACGGTGTATCATATGCTTGTTCTTAAAAGGATTATTCTCATTTTATTCTAGAATGGATGAGTCTCGATATGCATCAATACAATGTTTGTCAAGTGTTGATTAGCACGAGAAGCTCAGTGACCAATTTCTAACCGGTTAATTTATTTTAGTTACAAACGTATATTTCAATTATCGGTTGCTTTAAGATTAGACAAAAAAACCATTCCTAGCCAATAATCGGACGCCGATCATTTAGATTAGATTAAGCAATTCTGCACTACTCTCAATTAATACGATTATCAATTGAAACAATGCTTACTACCAAGATAAAATTAAGAACAATTACGAATTGAAAGTTGAATCTAGTGATACACAGTTTGGTTAAACAATATGAGGCGATTGAGAAATTTCGACAAATGTTTCCCAAATCGTTTCTTCTCCTCTATTTCGTTTCTCATGCGATTCCAATTGATCTCCCGCATGGCAACGATTATTGAACAATATTTATAACCTCCTAGCAAAAACCGCTCGATTAAGGCTAAAAACATGACTTGGGATGTGGTTCAACCCATCGAAAAACTCCGCACATGGATAAGGTGCTCGACAAAAGCGCTAAGGCAGGATTTGGGCCAACTAAACCCGTCAGAAAAGTCTCCTGCTAGTTTTGAACTTGGTAGCACCTCCCATGAGTCTTGGTGTGATTTTATCCACTGATGAAAACTTCCGAGATGGAATTGACCTCGATTGTCGTCATATATATATATAGAGAGAGAGAGAAAGAGGGGGGGGGGGAGAGAGATAATGACTTGTTAACCAATTAATTAGTAATGAATTAGTGAACCCAACTAATCCATTTAATTTATATATATATATATGGTTATGGTAAATTGGAGGTCATAAATTGATGAAAAATGAAATGAATTAAATGGAATAAAATGAAGGGCAATATTAAAACAACTGTGATTTATTTTTGGAAGATAAATTCAGTTTTTTTTAAATTAAATTTCTTTCCTTTATCCCGTAAATTCGGTTTTAATTTCATTTATCTCTTAACTTCGGTTACTTTTTTTTTCAATTAATTTTTTTTCGTTAGTGTATGAACTTTGGTTGTTTCAAATTTTTTACCAAAATTTATAAGTGAAACCAGAAAGTGAATGAGATAATTAAGGTAGTTTGAACAAAGTTCATAGGTAAAACAATAATTTTGTTTAAAGTTCTTAATGTTCTTTCGTGTATGAACTTTGGTTGTTACAAATTGCTTACAAAAGTTTATAGCGAGATGGAAAGTGATAAGATAATGTTTTGTGAAACAATGATATTTTTTTTTTGTTTAAAATTCATACGTGAAACAATGTTTTTTGTCCAAAGTTCATTACAGTTTTGTTTCAAAATGATAAGTGAACAAAATAATAAAGGTATGTGATAATTAAATGTATAAGTTAATTAAGAAAGATGATATCAATATATGGAAAAGAAAAAAAAAACCCTAATTAGTACACTTTGTACTAATTAGATGGTTAAAAGAACGTGTCTCCATATATATTGTGTAGAACCAAAATATTTAATAAAATTAGATATCACGCAATTAGTTAAATAGAACAATTATTAATCTTTAGTTCTAGAATATATTATATAAACTTCATTTCATAATAATAGTTTAAAGTTTTTTTTCGTTGTGCAAATATATATCAGATATTATGTTCGATTCACTACAAAATAAACAGTGTTTGAACAATTTAGTTTGATTAAATATGTTTCCTAGATCACAACCTTCCGGTGCTCAAAATAGAAAAAGAAAGAAAAAAACAACAAGAAATTACTCAATCATTACATGAATCGCTAAATAAATTTGTTGCGAGGCAAGAAAAAGCCATTGAAAATGTTAGTTCTCATGATAATGTGGAAAATCTCGTTGATGAAGAACTTGTTGATCCTAATTCTAGTGACTTGTTGAAAATTTTGTTGATGAGCCTCATATTGGTAAGCCTCATGTGGATAATCCTAACTCTAATGACTTTAATGAGTCTAATTTGAATATTTTTGAGCCAAGTGTTTGGGATAGTTTAAACTTAAAACTGAAGGATTTGCTTCAAGAAAAATGGCCTGTTAGAGAAATTAAGATCGTTTTTCCAAAAGATGATCAAAATAGGCATTTTTCTTTACCCATTATATTCGTACGCTACGAAATGGTGAGTGTCATGAACAGAAATGGTTGGTCTACTCTAAAGACTTGGATAAAGCTTTTTTTGCTTTTGTTGCATATTATTCAAAAAGGCTCAACCAAAAAGTCAATTAGCAAGTGATGGACTTTATGATTGGAAACATCTTAATCATACATTATTGGTACATGAAAATAGTTCTGAATATTGGATTAATTTAAAAGCATGGTCTGAGTTAAAAATGATGTTGGATATGAAACAAACAATAGACAAGGACTTGCAAGAGTTAATCAAGAAAGATACTGCTCATTGGAAACAAGTTTTGATTCGTATAATTGTTGTTGTGACATGTTTGGCAAAACATAATTTGCCTTTTCCTTGAACAAACTAAAAACTCTATGATGATTCAAATGGTAACTTTTTAGGCATTTTTCAAATGATTATTGAGTTTGACCCTGTCATGCAACACCATTTTCATTTGAGTAAAGAAAAAGAAACTCAACATTAATATCACAATCATAAAATTCAAAATGAGTTGATTGAAATGTTGGCATTCAATGTGAAAAGTGTAGTTATTGCAAAAATCAAGGAGTTAAAATATTTTTCAGTTATTCTTGATTGCACTCCTGATGCAAGTCATAAAGAACAGAAGACTTTGATTATAAGATGCGTAGATGTGTCGAGTTTTACTATCAAAGTAGAAGAGTTATTTTTGGAGTTTTTGGTAGTACAAGATACATCTAGTAAAGGTATTTTTGATATACTAGAAGATGTTTTGAGAACCCTTGATTTAAATATTAATTGTGTACAAGGACAAGGGTATGATAATTGGGCTAATATGAAAGGAAACCATCAAGGTGTTCAAAAAAGGTTGCTTGATATAAACCCTAGAGCTTTTTATATGCCATGTGGATGTCATCGTCTTAATTTAGTTTTGTGTGATATGGAAAACTCTTGTCATAAAGCAAAAACTTTTTTTGGTACATGTCAAACAATTTGTATTGTATTCCCTAATTTTACAAAGCGGGTGGAGTTATATGAATCATATGGGGATGAAAAGCCTTGGACATCTATTCAAGTTATGGAGTTTGTGCAAAAGGTGGATATGTTCCCACACGTGTTGCTTGCCTACATGATTTTGTTAACCATACCGGTCACGGTAGTATCAGCCGAAAGAAGTTTTTCAAAATAAATGTTATTGAAGTCATATTTGCGGGCTACCATGAGCTAAGAGAGGTTTAATGGGTTAGCAATTTTGAGCATCGAAAGTAAGTTTTTAGCAAAGGTTGACTATAATAGATTAATTGAAGATTTTGCTTCACGGAGTGTTTAAAGATACCTTTTTAGATGAATAGGTAATCTTACATTTGCTTTTTTGTTCTGGGTTTTGGTTTATGTCCCCCCGTTGTAACTTTTTTTTCCAATAATAATCGGCATGATGATGAGCTGCCTAGTTTGATTAAGTTCCAAACCCTTAAAAATTTGTGTCTTCTTGAGTTCTTGGTTCGTAGGAGTAGGGGTATCATTTTGGCTCTCTACCCAGGGCATCCAAAACCATTGGTCGGACCCTGGGGTGAATGCACTTTATTTTGTAGTGATTATTCGAAGAATACAATTGCAAACTGTCTTTATTTGAACATGACAGTCTTCCCAAATTACATTTCAAGCTTTTCAAGGAAACAACATAACTGAAAAAGGAAGACACTTTTTGATATTTTAGTTCTATAAATAAGGTTTTATAGGCATTTTCTTGTTCCTAATGAAAGGATGTTAATTGGTTCTTCTGCAATTGGTCCTAACTTGACCATTCGAGCCAATTAAAGGGCTAATCTTGCCCATCTTCACCATCGCATTTGCAAAGTCTCTTGAGAAAGTAGCCCGATTCGATGCATAGATCCTAACTTGTGCATCTGTTGAACCGCCGTTGAATAGCTCTTGGTCCGAATGTAATAATCCTCTTTGGTTGATCAAATTATTGAAGTATCTGTTGTCGAAAGATGCAGGTGAAGCATCTAGTGGTGAGAGATTATCGTCACCACCGCTCGATGGACAATGTGCTCTTAATGATGTCGCAAACGATGAATTGATGTTGTTATCGTTGTAGAGACGTTTACGGAACACCGAGCACCTTACTTGACCAATTGTATGAGCTCCTACATGTATACATAGTTATGAGGATCCATGTGTACACATGAATGATTATTGAAATATTTGAAAAAAGTTGGAAAGAAAATACATGATAGACTAGAGTGTTTATTTTCAAGATTATTATTTTTGACTAATTAATTTAAAACATTTATTATAACATATTCAAGTTTATAGGAAGTCAAAAATGTCTAAATATCTTATAATATTGTTATATAGGACTTATGTAATGGATCCAACATTTGTACATGCTATGTAAATAGGTTACAATAAGTTTATAGGACGTTTTTTTTACTTCTTCAAGTTTTTATGACAATTTTTAAATAAACAACAATATTAAGTTTTTTATTACAGTGTATAAGAAAATGTCGAATAAAACCAAGTGTCTTATTAAAACATATTTTTGTAAGACACTTCTCACAAGTGTAAAATAAAGAGACTATTAAGATATTTTATTTCTAAAATTTGTTAAAAAAAACTTGTTAAAATACCTAAAAAATGTCATATATATTTATTGTAATACTTTTATATAATACGCACAATTATTTGATAATATAAACTAAATTTTAATAATGCAGTCGATTAAGAATCCTAAAATTTATTTTATTGTAGTGATATTACTGGTTGATTTTGGTCCAATTCATGATCTTTGTAAGAGTCAAATGCCTGGTTTTGCATGATTCCATATTTTGAAATAAAAGTTTCTATTAAATTTTTTATATATCATATTTGAAAAAGTGTATGATAAAGCGAAGTATTCTAAAAAACATTAACAGATTTTTTTTAATTTAAAAATGTCCTAAAAACTGATTAAAACATCTAAAATCGTGCTATAAATTAAGTTGTATAAAAAAAATTTATTAGGACATTGACATCCTATGAACCCGAATTTGTTCTAATGACTTGTCAAATAAGCCACAGAAAAGCCCATGACATGTAGTCCGGTTGGCTCAAAGAATGAGGAGATCTATGTTTGCTCAAAAAGCCGTTGATCTCGGGATCGAGTTCTGGCCCTTCATGTGCCTCGCGGACGGGTGAGTCTTACACATCTAACCCACTCACACCGGATTCCTTGAAGATTGAGTATCATGTGGGACCGGTTAAGTTTACTAGCACTCGACCTTTTGCTAAAAGATAAGCCACACAAAAAATTCATATCCAAATTAAAGGTGTAAAACAAACCTGATAGAGCAACCATTTCATTAACAGTGAAACCTTTGTTTGAAAAAGTTGAGATGAGAGCACTAAGACTTGAATCTGGTGAAGGGAGGTTAGAATTTGCAGCATTTAAGTTCGCTTTTGTCGAGTCTCGTCTACCAAATAAAACATTCCAACTTGGCCCACCAAGCTGCAATTCAAACAAAATCACTTAATGAATTAAAACTTATTGTTTTATAAAACTTAAGTTGGATCAAAGGATAAATTCCACCATAAAACTAAGGAATATCAGCAACGGAGAATTCCGTCGCAAATCCGTCGCTAAAGGCATATTTCGTCGCTGATAGTCCGTGGGTCAAATGCTCTTGGGTAATACTATCAGCAACAGATCAGCGACGAAATTTAGCGACGGATCAGCGACGAAATATAGCGACGGATCAGCAATGGGAAGTTTTAGCAACGGCTTAGCGATGAAAATTTACAACGACCGATTAGCAACGAAAATAAGACACTTTTGAGAATTGTCCTAAGAACAAATTCTTTTTATAAGACATTTGTTTTTTCAAAACATTTTGTCATTAAAATTTAATAGAATGCTTTATTTTAAGTGACCTAAGAAATTGTTAAGACGCTCAAAATATACTGTAAATTTTTCCTTTTGGACCTACGTACATATAATATATATATATATATACGACATATACTCATCATCACTCATCATCTTTGGTGAAGTATGAACTCTTAACTTTCTGAGAAGCTAGTTCTACTAGTAACCCGGGTATCATTTCCCAATGACAATTTGATGAGCGTCCTTTAGTTTGTTGTAACATTTTTATACATAAAAGATAATTGTTTGGTTTATTGTTTTTATAAAGTTAAGGCTAATAAAATAGTTTATGAAAACATTAGATAATTTTAACGTTTTTATAAACCTGAATTTGTTAATGTGAAAGACGGGTTTGTTCCCCATAATATGTGATAACTTATGACTCAAATTGATGATCTCTGGATTATCCCAAATAGGTTTCTAAGTAGGGTTCCCATGCAAGTTATAAAGGAAAATTATTATTATACTTACAGTAACAACCGAATCTCGAGCAACAGCAGATAATATATCTGAACATGAAACGACACCAGGGCACATGCGCTCCAACTGGGTTTTAATAGTATCAATCACCTCGAATCCTCTCAACGAATTGTTATTTGGACCAGCTGTTTTTTCTCCGATAAAATTGGCAGTATCGTCCAACAACACCGAAGCATCACATCCCTATATATTTGGTTGCAAATAAAAGAATGGACTTGTAATCAGTATTATGAAATTCGTATATTGATGGGGCATTCAATCTTTTAAGCATGCGTATTAAAGTATCTCCTATAAATAATATATATCGATCTAAAATAAAGAAAAATAAAGTTAAAATTTATAAAAAATTACACTTAAAGATTATCTATTTTAAAATTTTCTACATTAATTATATTATTAAAATATTATATAAAATTTTCATCTAAATATCTTTTTATATAAAATAATAATATAGCAATATCATTGAGAGAAACCATTAAAATATTGTTTACTCTTTCTTTGCAATTGAGTTTTAAATTAAAAAAATTTAGGTTATCTCAAATTTAGAAACACTTTAAAATACATCAATACAAAATAATTTAAGAAAATATCTAAGCGATTGAAAATGCTGTCAATTAAGCAAGCAGCGTGTGAGAGGTCGATCATTGACTCAAAAGTCGAAAACGATATATATATATATATATATATATTGGTCGGTGGAGCGACTCTCGGACGAATTTTCAACGAGGAATCCTTCATCAGTGGTTGTGAATGACTGATTTTTTCAATCTCATACGGCTCCTCAAAGGTCACAAATTAAATAAATCTAAGGACCCGTCCATTATTACTGCTATTAACTATTAAGTTATTCATATTCGCTATTCATAATTAATATGAATATATTAAAGAATAAAATATAAAATTTCAAATAACTGTTAAATATTATAGAACATAACAATTAATCTAGCGGTGCAATTATATCCATTTTTGGGGGGGATTCGAATTACTATTATCAATTAGAAGAATTTATGGTTGGCTTCAAAATTGTAACCTTCCCATGGCATAAAAGCTAAATTTATTTTTTGATATCGAAATCTATATATATATATATATATATATATATATATAACCCAAAATGATGAATTTTCACGATCAATAGATGACATAGAAATTATTTCACATAGCTAACATAAAGGCTTAAAATGATGTAAACCGGATATCGTGGCAAGGTCAACTTTAAACCTTAAATATCATGGTAAAGATGTGACATTTTTTAAGACGACAAATTTATATGTCATACGTATATATACATATATATATATGTTTATATATATATATATATATTACTCAATACTAAAAAATTTACATTTTCTGATGAAAAAAATTATATAGATTATTACTATAAAAATAATTTTTCATCAAGTTATCAAAATAAATAAGGTGTTGTTTACCAAAAAGCTTATTCGATAAATGCTTACCAGTAAAATTTATCACCTTCAGTTACCTTATTGTATAACATTTTCGATCATCAAAATGGAGTGTTGCTAAATGCCTCTTACCTGGAAAGCTTTTACTAGATAAGTCTGTTCCCAAACGGGCAAGATTTTTGGTTCTTATCGGGTAAAATTTTCAGTCTTTACCATCCTCACTCGGTAAGTTAAGCATTTAGTAGACGACCCCCAATAAGTCATAAAATCTTACGCTAAAGACTATATATCAAATGATTCAGATAAGTATACTACTTCATATACCAAATCAAATTTCACACATTAAATTATATGTAACATTATTTATTCTTCATCACTATTTTTCATAATTACAAATTTAGTTTTCCAAGTTTACGATTTCTGTATTTTTATTTTAAAAGTGTTAAAAACTTCTATAGTTTTTAGAGCATCTCAACCATATCTATACTCGAACTTTAAAGACTCTCTATTTTGAAAATTTTTATAAATATAATAATTAAAATTTTATTATTCGAATACACTTTAAAAATTAATATAAAATAATAATAATTGGGGTGAGAAAATTTAAAAAATTATTTTTCTTTTATAAAATTTAATTAAAGAATTCGTTAAATTTATAGAATTTTATTCTCTCTATATTACTAAAATCTTCAATTTTCATACTTTAAAAAATTTGTTAAAAGTCTTTTATGTGTTATATGCATATAAATATAACTCATATATATATATATATATGAGTTATATTTATATTAATTTTTCGTTTTAATCAAGTGATGGGTTATAAATTAAAATTATGCTTAGAATTAAAAATTTGTATATATATTATAAAACACATTAACACCAAAACCTAAAATAAATTATTAATAACAAAACACGGAAATATAATCAAAGAACAAACTATAAATACATAATAACCAAAAAAATATACGGATATAATTTATAAAGTTAATAAATATAAGAGTCGATGGAAGTTCAATTAGGAACCTAAAATTGACTAATAACCTGAGTACCTACAGCATAACATGTGTCGCTCTTGAGGATGGATATTTATCATGAATAACACATTCATAACGAATATAGGTCTATCATTCGTTATGAATCACAATTATGATGAACATGTTACAACATTTATGATGAATAACACTTTTATATTCCTGATGAATATGTGAGATGTTGTGTTATGGATGGTCCCGTGGTTCCTAATCAATTTAGATTCCTAATAAAACATGCCCTATAATAATATTACTAATTGGTTATATAAATATAGATGAAAAGAAATATAATTGGAATCTAACATTTTGGTGTAAAAGTTAGCTAGTGTTACTACCAGAGAAGAAATACTTTTCACATCAAATTTTATGAAAAATAATATAAAATATGGTGTTACCTATAGAAGATGCCTTAATTTGATCTAAGTAAACCTAAAAAAAAAAGCATATGAGTCAAAAAGGAAGAAGTGTTAACAAAAAGTTGGAGACTTGCATTAACAAAACAATCATGGAAATGAAGGCGAAGCAACGAAGCTCCCATGCGAGCTTCCTTTGATACGGCTGCATTCACTGCTCTTGTTATTACTGAACGAAAGTTAGGGCACGTTGTAGAATAGAAACTTGTTGATAGCTGACCTGAAGAACTCTCAACCAGAATCGATAGGCATAATGTAAAAGCTGAAAGCTTAAACAAAGAAGAAAAGGATGATAAAGCCATGAGCATGACAACTTCAAGAAGTAGTAGATGTTTGGGAAAGAAAGGTTCTTGTGGTAAATGAAGGTTTATGCATCATCTATATATAGGAAGACCAAGAGGGGGTATGGTGGAGATTCTTTTGCTCCAACAATTACTTTAATATTGTGTTTTTGAATTTGGAAAAAATAGAAAATAAAGAAAAGGGGAAAAAAGAGCGAATTTTATTTGTGTTCTTGAAAATGAAAATATATGAAAAAAAAATTAAGAAAGAAAATAAATTTACATGTACGAATAAGAAAAGAAAATATACAAATATACAGTTGTTTAATTATTTTACAACATATAAAAACAACCGAGAAGACATGTAAAATACAGAAAACAAGAAAGAGAAGTTACTACTAATCTCCAAATTTAATGAAATATCTAAAATTGAATATTGAGAAGATAAAAATGGTATTTTTCAATTGTTTCTACCAATAAAGTTGAATGTATTCTTAATTTTTTTCAGATGTATTGAAATCATGAGTTTATAAAATATTTCAATAAAATATGGTTTTTATGAAGAACTTAACTTTTAATTTTTATCGAGTAATATATAGTTTTACTTCTTAACGTTTGTAGTTTTCAATGGATATCGTTTCTAAATTTTAAAAAAATTCGGATTTGATTTTTTATGTTTGTTAACTCCAATTGTTTTTTTTTTTTTTTTTTTTGGTGTTTTTGTCTATTGATTGTTAATTTTCTTCATTAAATCTAACTAAATGAAGGGTGTTTCAGTTGTCATTATAATAAAATAAAAGAACATATTATATTATTAATTTTAAATTGTAAAAAGATGAAATGTGGTAGTTATCTTTTTTTTTCGTTTCACAATTTAAATTAAAAAAATAATGTGTATTTTAATTCTAATATAAAATTAAGAAAACAGTAAAAATGACTAAAATACCTCTAATTTAACTTGACTTAACAAACAAAGTTAAACACCGTTAGATAGGAAAACCAAAATCATTAATATTTGACAAACATGAATGACCAAATTCAAGGTTTTAAAATTAGGGGTGATATTCGTTAAAAAATTTATATATTAGAGACAAAAATTGAACTTTATTCTAAAAGAGTTTTAAAGTAGTGGTGCCCAAAAATATGAACTCAATGTTGAGAGTTGACTCATTAATATCCAATTATTATCAATCTACTTGCATTCGAAATTAATTGGTGTTGAAATCATGGGTGGCTGTTTTAGTCGTTTCCGAAGTCCCGTATCTAATTCGTGAAACTTAAATACGTGGATTAGTTTTAAATGTGTTCCACATTCATCGATCTTTTATAAGACTTTTCATGACAGCTATTTAACATATCGTGGTCCAAAACTCGTTCTCAATGCCATATTAATTACGGTGTTACATGTCAGATCCCTACGTGTTGTTTTTGTAATAAGTTAGGTTGTGAAATAAATATTATTAACTAAATTAAGAATACTGTTTTATAAATTAAGAATACTGTTTTTGCGTATACTCGTTGTAATGCTCAACACTATGTATACATTTGCAGCTACCCTTTACATACAAATTGAGCTTCAACATTGGAACACAATGTTTTTAACAAAAAAAAAATGAAAGAAATGTATCATTTTCCTTCTTTTAAGGGATACGATATCAATAAAAATAATTTTCATACAAAACACGTACTCCAAATACATTTTTTGTTTACATTGCATGTTATTAGTTGACAATTAGCAAATTGCATATCATTTTAACTTAGTTATTTACTTTTTTAAAGAAACATTTCTTCAGAGCACAACGTACAATTTCATACACATAATAACAATAATAATTAAATGATAATTTAGATGTAGTATTGTAGGTTTTTTCTTTTCTTTTGAAGATGCACAAAAGATCGGTTAACTGATGTTTGACCGGTAAGGACCAAGTACCAGATTACCGATCCTAAAATTTAAAGATGTGTTAAAAAAGTTCTAGTCCAAGGACTGTTATAGGTTAAGTGAAAACATGTTTAGACCTAAATTTTGAACATTAGACTGGTCCTTGACCAGTTAAAGAAATTGAGATAACATCCAAAAACCATTCAGTGATTAACTGAAATCAGTCCAGTTATGGCATGATCAAATCATAGTTAAAGCACAAAAAACCTGATCATGACCCGAAAAAACCATCAATGTCCGTTGTTTTTACCTCAATTATATATTTTGACTAAAAATTAAAAATATATATATAATTAGTGGTACTCAAGTTGACTAAAAAATTTAAAAAATTTATTGAAACAATAATTTATGATAATCGATAGTCATTTAATGCAAGAAATTTTAGAAACTATTTTAACGATATGTCTCGGTTTTTTCGTGTGACTCAGACTTTAAATCTAACATGTAACACAAAGATAGTTTACTACATGAAATATTAGATTTTTTTTAACTTGAAGATTAAAAACAATGAAAATTATCAAGACGACAAAGATTAAAAAAAAAATTAACTGAAGATACAAAAACTAATCAAAAATAAAAAAATAAAAAGGAAGAAGTTAAAAAGATTAATTAGTTTATAATCTCAATTTTTAACTAATTTTTATGTCATACAATTAATTATTTTACTATAAAATGAAAACTCGGTATTTTTTTAAAAATAACTGTTCACTTTATTCCTTTATATATGTATTTTTTATTTTCTTAAAAGCATAAAGAACCAATTAAGACTGATTGGATCACCGATCCGTATTTGAACTTTTTTTTTTTACCAAATATTGGTCTATAACAAATAACCGATTAAGCCCCGATACATATTCAACTCTAGTCATTTACCGTCAATTACATTCAAATTCTAAAACAACCTTTTAGAACCAAATAAAAAATAGTTTTTATCATTCAATGAGTATTTTGTATTTCATAAAAATTGGAAACAATATATTTCTTACGGGAAGAACTTGTATCAGTATCTCAATTTCAATTCAAGAATTCAATGACATATTCGAAGAAATTCTGGAGGATAAACTTCATCGTCGAGAGAGAAACAGTCTGAATTCAAATAAGTGAAATTAAATTCTATTTAACTTTTTGTCAACTAAAGATATGGTTAAATCTGATTTAATTTCATTCCACGTATTTTAAATTTCAATTCCTTTCATATATTTTTTTGTGACCTACTAGTAAAAATATGGTCTTAAGTGACGGTTAAAAAATTTCACCGTAGGTATACGATAACGATTTTTGTGGACACAAAAATCGTCACCATAGCTGCCATAACTTTTGATAAACTTTCGGTTATGTTTAAAAAACGTTATCAAATCACATCAAAAACCATTACCATAGGCTAAAACCGTCACATTAATTAGATGTACAAAAAGTTCATTTTTTTTTCTAAAACCGTTATCGTAGTATAACATACAATGACATTTATTTTTAAAACCGTCACCATAGCATGGCATACGGTTACGCAAATTTATTAAAATCATCATCTTAACATGGCATATGTTGAGGTTTATATTCAAAAACTGTAACTGTAGCATGACATACCGTGACGTTTGCTTTTCAAAATTGTGACCCTAGCAAGACATACAGTGTCATTTATTTGTAAAAATTGTTACCATACCATGACATACAATGACATTCATTATTTAAATCGTCACCATAGCATGAGTGTAGTGAAGTTTATTTCTTGAAATAGTCATTGTAACATGACATACATTGACGTTTCTATTCAAAAGTTGTCATTGTAACATGACATACAGTAACATTTACTTTTTAAAACCGTCACCATAGCATGACCTATGTTGACGTTTACATTCAAACAACGGCACTGTAGCATGACATAAAGTGATGTTTATTTCTTAAAATTGTCACCGGAACACAACATATAATGATGCTTATTATTTAAAATTGTCACAATAGCATGACATCTGGTGACATTTATTTTTTTCGAACCATTACCGTAGTAAAATGTACGGTGACGTTTATTTTTCAAAATTGTTAATGTAGTAGGACGTATGATGACGTCTATTTTTTAAAAATGTCACTGTAGAGTGGTGTAATGTAACACCTGGAATTTCATGTACTTAATCCATGTTTAAAAACACTTTATATTTTTTTATGAGAATCCTCCTTTGTGAATATTTGAGTATACGTATCTATATATATGTTAATATATCTATATAGATGTGTGTATATATTTATATATATTTAAATGTTACTTTAAAAAGGGTGTACTTTTGAATTCTTAGGAATATTATTTTAAAAAAAATAAAATAAAAAGGGTTACCTGCATCAATGACCTACCCTTGGTCCCACTCTTTTTCCTAGAGTTCTCTTTTTTTCTAAAAAGTTTTTGACTTCCTTGTATTGGGGGGAGTGATGACTTCTTTTAAGAAAGGGGTTAGGTGGGTCTACCATCTTCTTGAAGGAAGAGAAGAAACAAAACAAAGGGGGAAAAAGAAAAGTAGGAGGGGAGGTCATGGTTCTTCTGCACTTTTTGAACGAAAAGAAAAGAGAGGAAAAAGAGGAGAAAGGAAAGGAGGAGGGGAAATCAGTGRGTTTGGTGGGAAGAAGGAAYAACCATGGCTGCTKGAATAGTAGAWGAAGAAACARCCGYTGCTGTTTGGTGGAAATAGACGCAGYCGTGGCTRCTGTTTGAGGAAGGAAGCAKGAGCRGCACAGCCGYTGTTCKGGAGGAAATAGACGCAGCCRTAGCTGYTGTTTGGAAAGAAAACAGAAACAGCATAGCTGCTGTYCGGAAGAGACGCAGCCAACTGCTGTCTTGGGCTCGTCTAATCGCCRKTCTYGATCCGATTGAGTAKCCGCGCTAGCCTTGCACCACTGTTGCCGCGTTCATCCCTGCATCGTGCTGCTGTCCATTATGTGTAGAGGCGTTGCTTTTGCGAGCTAAGATCTCCTTTCGTCTACCGTTTAATTCCTAAAAATTGGAATTTATCCTAAATCCTACAAAGGTGAGTTCATCCTACCTTTTTAGAAGCTTTATACTAAATGAAAGTTATGTGCTATACTTATTCGAACACTCTAGTCCWMGGTGATTGTTTTGCTTAGTCGATATAGAGATTTTAGGC